GTTACAGGCCAATATCCCTGATGAACGTAGGCAGTACAGTGTTTGACATTGGTCTTAGCAGTATTTTTTTGCATCTATCTCTTCAGGCAAGGGCAACAAAAGTAAAAATAAACGTGACTATATCAAATTAATAAGCTTTTGTACAGTGAAGGAAACTATCAACCAAACAAAAAGGCAAACTACTGAACAGAAATATGTATATACTTCGATGTTTTCAGTTTAATTTCCCACAATATAAATAGGATCTGTAACTCAGCAACACCCTCCCATGGCATCTCTTAAATGTCATCAAACATAACATAGCCAGAGTTATCTTCATAAAACAAAAGTCCTATTATATACTTACCTTAGAACACTCCATTGTCTTCCCTTCATCTACTGAAAAAAATCATAACTCCTTATCTTGAATATTAGTATCTCAGTGTTCACTGTGCCATTTTCACAATAACCAAAGGTAGAAACTCGTGTCCATAAACAGATGAATGGATAAATAAAATATGTTATATACATACAATAAAATATTATTCAGCCATAAAGGGGAATGAACTTCTGACACCTGCTACAATATGGATTAACCTTCAAAACATTATACTGAGTGAATTGTGCCACACACAACAAAACATATATTGTATGATTCCACTTACATGAAATATATACAATAGCCAAATTCATCGAGAAAGAAAATAGATGAAAGATTACCAGAGAATACAGGGAGGGGGAATTGGGAGTAATTGCTTAAACAGGGTTTCTGTTTAAAGAGAGAAAACTGATTTGGAAGGACTTCCCTGTGGCACAGTGGTTAAGAATCCACCTGCCAATGCAGGGTACACGGGTTTGAGCCCTGGTCTGGGAAGATCCCACATGCTGCAGAGTGACTAAGCCCATGTGCCACAACTTCTGAGCCTGCACTCTAGAGCCTGTGAGCCACAACTACTGAAGCCCACATGCCTAGAGTCCATGCTCCACAACAAGAGAAGCCACTGCAATGAGAAGCCCATGCACCACAATGAAGAGTAGCCCCCACTTGCTGCAACTAGAGAAAGCCTATGTGCAGCAACGAAGACCCAAGGCAGCCAATAAATAAATAGATTTATTTTAAAAGTTTTGGAAATAGATGGTGATGGCTGCACAATATTGTGAATGTAATTGATGTCACTGAATTGTACAATTAAAAGTTGAAATGGCAAATGTTATGTTTTATATATTTTTACCTAATTTTAAAAATTAATAATGTAATAATGTAATATACTAATAATGTAGCATACCCAAAATTATTGAACAGTACACTTTTAATGAATGAGTTGTATGGTATGTATATTATATCTCAATGAAACTTTTTCTTTAATACTTCTTATCTTGGCAGACCAAATCCTTCAATATTGGACTTCTCTCTAGGACGCGATAGCCTCATCTCACACCATTCATGCCATGAAACCCATGTTCTAATCATGCCAAATGATGTGTCACTCCTTGTCTACCCTTTGCTTTTTCATGTCTTTATACTTAAAATTTTCTGAGCCTTTAGCCTAGAAGAGTAGTTTGTAATCTTTTTTGTTCTGAGGACTTTTACAGTCTTAAAAAGTATTGAAGACTCCAGCAAAATTTTTGTGTATGTGAGTTACGTCTATAGCTATTGTGTTAGAAATTTAAACTAAAAACTTTGTTTTGATATGTATTAATATATTTTAAAAAACAAAAATGAATTGACTGCATATTAATATAAATAACATCTAAAAAATAGCTGTATTTTTTTAAAATGAGAAGACAGCATTGTTTTATCATTTTATAAATTTGTTTACTCTCTGGATTACTAGAAGACAACTGGATTCTCACATCTACTACGTCCAATCTGTTGTGTTCTTTTAGTTGAAATTTGTGAAGAAAATCCAGCTTCACACAGCAGTGAAGTTGGAAAAGGAAGGAGGGTTTTAACAGCCTTTTCAGATAATTCTGGATATGATTTTATACTACAACAACACAAATGGTAGTTACTTAAAGGTTAGCTTCCGTGTGGAATCAGAAACTATAGTGATGAACTTTTCCTATTCTATTACATTAAAATTCATTGGTCTATCTTATACTCTGAATGGATCATTTACCCAGGCATGATTTTATCATGTCATTTGGAAAATATTGGTCCCCTGAGTTATGCATATCCTCCAAATGCTGACAATTTCAGCATGCAATACCCCCCCACTCCAAATCACTAGTAATATCACTACACATCTCATCAGAAGTATGGGAAGCTATCAAGCTAACTATGGTGGATACAAGTCTTGAAAATTTTAATTTTTACTTGAAATCTTGATTTTTATTTGCAATAAATAATGTAGGTCATTTTCCTTGGAGTGACAGACTCATTGCATTTAGTCTGCCATACACCCAGGTTTGAATAACCATAGTTTGTTCCTCATTCTTTTAAGTAAAAAATGATATTCCTTAAAAAAAGCATAAACTCAAATAATGACAGAAATACGTGGTATCCTTCAGGCAACTATACTTCAGAATGCATCAGAGTTCCTTATATGTATTTTATAATATCACACAGCATATTAAAGAGATGTGTATTGAAGGATTAATATTTAATAAAATTATTTTACTTTTTCTTCAAGGACATTCTTAAGTGAAACTGGCTCTTTTTTTTTTTTTTCCTGCTATTAAGTGGCAGTGAAAAATGCAATGACTACTAGTACTGTTTGGTACCACTGTATTGATTAGTGCTAAGGTACCGGCAATTTAGCCACAATGGCTTTTGCACCATTGGTGCAAATGTCAACACAGTGGAAAGGCAAATAAATATCTAGTATTATTATGAAAATAATTTTGATCTCTTATTATGAAAATAATTTTGAACATGTATTAGGAGACCCTAGGAACCAAATTTGGGGACCATTGGTCTAAAATTCATCCTTCTCCACCGGGCTCAACAGGCAGACTCCTATTGATCCCTTACATTTCCTCAACTCATCTCAGTGGCATCCTCTGCGCTTCCTCAGAAAGATTATTTATTCTCTAGGCCTTTAGTATATTATAGATTCTAGTGAATTTCAATGTCTGTTTACTCATAGTTTTCTTCTTAAACTATGGCTTCTAAAGGTCTATGGACTCATGTTCATCTTTATGCCCAGGGTACCTGACAAAGAATCTGGAGCACAGAAAATGAATAAGTTAGTTAATAGATTACAGATGCAACATAAGCACTTCCAACTCTGAATTGTGTCAGTCTAGGAAAATGGAGGGAGGACCAGAGAGAATTATAATGTAAACTTCATAGGGATATACCCAAAGAATCAGTAAGTCTTGAATATGTCTCAAGTCTATGATCAGTACAGTTATAGTTGCATCTTCATATATATACACACACACAGGGAAGCCAAAATGGCATGTGCTGGAATATACAAATTGTTATGAAATTATCAACTAGTAACCTAGAGAATAAAGAAACAAGAATGTGTATTTGTATATGCTTGAAAGTACACACTTGAACTGATTTGGAAAGGCTGTCAGGTTTGAATAGGCAAAAGGGATTGTGAGGATATTAAATACTGAAAGAACAAAATAAACTGTGACAGGCTTAGCATGGGATGGCAATGTACAATAGGGAGTTTGATGTGTTTTTCACATGAGTAAGCATATGAATAGATGCTGGATCTCACTAGTTATCAGGTAAATGTATATTAATATGTTGACTTTTTTAACATATTAGTCATAAGCTAATAATTATAAAATCATTGTCAAAAGTGTGGGAAAATGGATCTTTTTATAAACAGTTAATGAAAACATAAATTGATATGGTCTTTTTGGAGAAATGTGACCAGTTCTAAAAAAAAATAAAACAATGATTTTGCAGTTCTACTTCTAGGATTCTATGCTAAAGAAATATTCACATGTGTGAAAAAACATATTTATGTGCACAAATGTTCACTGTGACATTGTAGGTAGTGATAAGACACCAAAAACAACCTAAATGATTGTCAGTGAGAAAATGGTTAAATAAATTAGTTTACTCTTAGTATAGGATAGATGCAGGCTTTCAAAAGAATAAGATAGAGCCTTATCTTAAATAGCCTTAAAAGCTTTTTAAGATATATTGTAAGTGAAAAAAAGCAGGTGAATATTGTATCATTACATTTTTGTAATTACAAATGATACACATACTGCAAGAAAATTCTGGAGGCATGACAGCTGTCACTTACGAGTAAGTAAATGGAATTGATGTTGCAGGGATGAGGCAGAAACTTCAGTTAAAAATCCATATTACTTGAACATTTTATAATTTATGCATTATTTTGCAATTTAAAAAGTAATGAAAAAGATTGACCTCAGTATAGTGAAATTGGAAAAGTGAGGAATATATGGAAATCACATAGAGATAGAGAAGAGAGAGATGCTGAATGAGGAATATGAAGATTGTCCCTGTAAAAGTTGGATGACAGGAAAGAAGTTTCTCTAAATTATAATGTATAGATAATTCACACAATATTATGTTTGAGTCCTGTAAAATATTAAAAGTATTGTCCTGTAGACTATTAAAAATATTTTAAAAATATTAGATTATTTAATAACATTTTCTCATCAAGACTGTCATATATATGCACACAAAAAATCTGATACTTGAGAAAATAAAATTCACTGAATATAATTAGGTAGATATTCTTAAAGATATAATTTCACCCACTGGAATAAAATAAAATTAGTAAGTTTTATACTGAAAAATTATTTTCCATGAATTTAATACACTTATTAATAAGAAACATTATAAAGGAATATACTGAGTGTTCCATGATTAGAAGCTAATAATCATAATATTCACACTGTACATGCTAGCAGTTAATTACTTCTTTGACTTTTGGGGGTTTGGATGTTATAGTTTCACTCATTCTTGAATATAAACTCTAGGAAAATATAATTGCTACATGCAACTACCACTCTAATTTCTCTACTACTCCAAATGATACTCATTTCCACCAAACTGTTTAAAAATAAATTGTTGTACTTACTTTCAACAATTACTTGTCTGTCTTCCCAGTTATCTTTAATAAGCTGTATATTTCCAAAGTGTGCATCGCTGTAGAAGATTCGGTTGGTACCTTTTCTTCTTTGATTATAGTCAAAAGCCAAAGCTATGACATTCTTGAAATAATGTGGATTTTCGTATGGCCTTATTGGTGAATTTAAATTGGTTTCATCAGAAAGATGTATACTTTTTAATATTGTTCTCCCTGAATACAGCAAATAGCCTTCATGCCTTAAGCAAGTAACTCCATCCTCTGCCAAATATCCATGGGCACAAGCACAAGTTCTCTGGGAATTTCCTCGATAAAGACAGAGTTGCTGACATCCCCCATTGTCCTTGGCACAAACATTGGTCCCTAGGGAGAAAAAGAAGGTACACACACGTATGTCTGTGTTTTTTCTTTTGTTTTCCAGATAGTTTTTTCTTAGAAAAATATTAAAAATTTAATGTTGAATATTCTGGGTTATTTTATGCTTAACTTTTAGACTGGTCAGTATAAATCCAAACACTATAAAGTACTGCTATTTTTAATCACTTCAGTTTAAAACCTGGGATTTTTTTATTTCAAAGATCACATTCTTCTGCTCCCCTGACCATCCAAAGAGAAGCATAAAAAATTTCCCTTAATCAGCCAGTTAAGTGCATAACCCTTTTGCAACTTGATACTGAGATTACAATAGGTTGTATATATTGTAATCTTTGGTACAAGTAACTGATTCACGCAAAACATGAACTGCATTCATCAAAAGAAATAGGCAGTACCTTAAACTTGGTGTCTATGAAGTATATAAGATATCAAAGAAATTTATGGCTCTAATGTGCCTACCTTCCTAAGTATATTGGGCGTAAGTTTTTCACTCCAGTTTTGAGTGAAGATATAACATGATATTAAGATTTCTTTATCAGACTAATTCTCCTCTATGAATCCATCATCCTCTCCAAAATTATTATACCTTCCTTTGATGTCAAGAAAATTAATTACAATTTACTCTAATGGACATTTAAAATGAACATTATCTTAATGGAAGTGATTTAAAAAAATCCAAATCATGTCATATCAGTTTCAAAACACATATTTTAAAGAAATGATGACTCTGGACTTATTTCACACTAATAGCAACCTTCTGGAGCCATCATCACTTTATGTATTAAAATATAATCTGACATGAAAACAACCTTTTGGCCCAAGTAATGTGGCATATTTAGTTAGTTCTAAATAAAGTGTGTGACTATTAAAATATATATATATATATATAAAATCAAAAAAAAAATTTTGGCTGCTTTTTACTCTCTAATATCCTAATTGTGCTTTGTATACTTCATTGAACATGTATATTTATCAAGTGTTTCTATATTACTTAGTCTAAACCTATACTGAAGCCATACCAGGTATATAACATGTCCATATACATGCACTGTCCTAGGCAAAACTATCCATGAACTATTATATATTTATTTCATTAGGCTACTATGTGATTTTTGTAGGAAATTAGATGTAAAAAAAATAGGGTCTTGAGGTTTTGGACTCATATAAGAATTAATCCCTAACTTAAGTTTGATAAATAAATGTCAAAAAAAATAAGAGAAAGAAATAACATAAAACGTATTTATCATACAAGAGTGCTGACCTTTCTCTCTTACTCGGTTAAAGATTTTAACCTCCTTCAGGTTGACTCCAAGACCCGTTCTCATGGTTACGGTTTCTGTGGCATCATTCTTGTGGCCCCTTCTGATGGACCCGTTGGCATGTGCTCTGCCAAGAAATTGAACATACGTGATCAACAATCTTTAATCCAAATCAAGCCAGTTATTTAAGCTGAAGGTAACAGATGGCCCAGCAGAAGGGAAAGAAACCAACATTAGTCTGTGACATTGAAAGGGTTGAGCCTGGACTAGCAAGAGTGACTGACTGCCTCTTCTGTGGAAATTACATGGTTTTGTGAGATCCTTTCTGTGACCTTGCTAAGGAATGGCTAATCCTACAAGGGTAAAGCAATTGGCACTAAAATAACATTTTGAGACTCAAATACTTATGAAAAAATAAATTACCTGTCAGACCAGTAGATGTACGCCCCAAAGACTGCAACTGAAAACATATCCACATTGCTCCCTGACAGCACCATCTCACGATTCCCGCCAGTCTCAAGGTCAATTCTTTCTATCTTGTCTATACGAGCATCACACCAATACAATTTATTTTCCTAAGGTTGATTGAAAAGTAATATTACAAGCTGTTTTTGGTTGTTTTATAAAGAAAATAAGAGAACACTAAAAGTAGACTAATGCAAGTTCGCAGTTAATGCACTTTCAATACTTAAGAAATCCAACAGACCTCATAGTCAATGGAGATGCCATTTGGCCATGCTATTCCCATGCTTACGAGGACAACCTTCTCTGAGCCATCTAAACGAGCCTTTCCAATGGATGGCATCTGTCCCCACTCAGTCCAGAACAAGTAGCTGAAATTAAATTGTAGATAAATGCAGATAAACACAAAACTGTGTAGTATTAATAACAACAGCAATACCATTCATACTAACAGAAAATAATACCATTTAAAAATCAATATGTGTGTATTGTTTACAATAAAATAATTTTTATTATAAAAAAAAATTTAACCATTCATAGAAATCACAGGGAAGAATTTCCAAAATACCTTTTGTACATGCTGCTCCCTACCTGAAATGCTTTTTTTCAATCTACTTGCTTAATTCCTTCTGTTTTTTTACTATATCAAACATTTCCCTCAAGAAGCCTTCTGTGTTCTCTCTGATTATTGCACCATATACTCTGCTTCATAGCATGAATTCGAGTGGCAAATTTACACTTGTGTTTCTTTACAAAGTTACTTTTTATTAATATTTTTTGCTCCCATTAGACTTTAAGCTCAGTGAGGACAGTGATCTTTTTTCTTATTCACTATTATACCTACAGCACTAGGTAATTTATGAATGTATACATGAATGCATTATCACTTTCAGTTCTGTCCACTTAGATTGCTAAATGGCTATTCAACTTTGAATTTTATAAATCATCTTGTGAAGGCATCTTAAAACATGAATTTATACAAAGCAGACATTCTTATTTTAGTAATCTTTTAACGTCATGTGGAAGGACTGTGGAAGAAAATAAAATATAAAAGAAAGAAAATCCACAGTATGCTGAAATATAACATGTCAAAAAATGAAATGTTAAAAAACAGAAGGTACATAATCCATGTTTCTTTCACCTATTCATTCAATAAATATAGTATTTATATTACAGTACAGAAATTCATGCTTTCAGATAAATCAGATCTATTCTTTTGAAGTTATGCCCAGTGAAGTTTTATTCAGCTGTCAGATAATAGCAATGACTGACTAAAGTTTAGAAAAATATGGCAATCATTGATTCAGTCAGGTAAAAATGAGTGTGTATCTGTGCATATTTGAATACATATATAACAGCAATCATACACAAGAAGAGAAAGTGAGACTGCATATAGGAAAAGCAAAGAAGACCTACATTCATATTTTGTATTATTTATCCATGAAAAATGATAAACTACATAAAATATGTATTTCTTTATGCATATTGTTTTGATTTATTTTAAAAGTCGATTTTTTCCCCTGAAAATGCTGTACAAAATAAATGCATTGGACTTTTACACCCAGACAAATATGAGGTGTGGCTGGAATCCCAAGTATATTAATCCTGAAGAAACTTTCATTCATATTTATAAGCTCTATAAATCAAAAAGGGAAAACTCTGTAGCAAGAAATCCAACTAGGGTTTCCCTGGTGGCGCAGTGGTTGAGAGTCCGCCTGCTGATGCAGGGGACACGGGTTCGTGCCCCAGTCCGGGAAGATCCCACATGCCACAGAGTGGCTGGGCCCGTGAGCCATGGCCGCAGAGCCTGCACGTCCGGAGCCTGTGCTCCGCAAAGGGAGAGGCCACAACAGTGAGAGGCCCGCGTACCGCAAAAAAAAAAAAGAAATCCAACTAATATTGGTTAGATCTAGGTTGAAGCAGGCATGGAAATATCTATATTTCTATTAAAATTATGATTTTTAAATCTTTAAGGGACATTGCATTAAAAAATTATTAAAAATAAAAACACTATTTTAACTGAGAGGTAAAATGTTGCTTCATTTAACTTTTCAAGGAGAAATTTTAGCATTACTAATGACACTAAAATGACAAGTCAGTCATTTGTTAAGATGACAGGGATGTTACACTGTGAAGGAGGCATTTTGGGAGCCAAGACAGATCTGTGCTTATTTATTCAATCTGATTCTTGTCATCTACTTTTAATACACTCCAGAGTTCAAATATGGAAGGCAATGGGTATAATATACTTTTTATTTAATAGTAATCTTTCAAATGTACTAAATGACTAATAAAAATATTATACCGAGTGAGTAGGTCAAATCAGCCATTTAACATATTTAATTCTCACAACTTTGGAAATTGCAGTTCAGGGAGTTAATGATCCACAGTCACATGGCTGATAGGGGAACTGCACTCAGGCTTTACTAACCCAGGGCTATATCTTCTTCTCTATGCTGTCTCACCAAATAGAAATATAATACAACAATATAACAATCTCAAATCAAGTGATATTTTCCCCTAAGTATAAGGAATATAACAAAGATCTCCATACTTGAAAAACGAAACAAAACATGAAAAAAGTCTTAGTATTAAAAACAAGTCTCTTTTTTCCCCTAGTAGTTCCTATTTTTTTGAAATTTGCAGTACTTCTAGGCAGGAGGCTTAGATGAATGGCAACAAAATTAGGAATAAAAAAATATTCAAAATAAAACTATCTTGAATACAGATTTTACTCAAATTTTCAGCAGTAATTTGACACACTGTCACAATATGTAAAGCCAAAGCTGACTGCAAGCATCACTTTTATGGCTAAAATATTTATCAACTTAATACAACTAAAATATTCTACACTTGCCAAAATTAAGCAACATTTTATGACGGTCAGGCAAAGAATAATTTATTTTCTCCCTAAACTGAAATTGAAAGTAAAGAATTGAATAGATTTAGCACCTTGAGAACCTTTGGGAATTACAAACCAAATACAGAGAAAGAACACTCTCTAACTTATAAAACTGCAGCAAGAAACTTATGAATAATTTGAGTGTAATTTACATAGATATGCTTGGGATATCTTTAGTGAACATAGATTCTTCATATATAAATGTGATCTTCAGCAATGAGAAGAAATGAAAATTTTTTCACTGGTTTTTGAGACTCCATGGAAATTAACATTCAGTGATGGCATTTCAAATAGATGTTGTCCCCATTTAAGTTCAAATTTTGCTGTAGTGGAGTGTTTGTTGTATGATATAGCCAAGAAAATTGCCTTTAGAGTATTAGCTTGGTTAATCTAGCCCTGAAAATACTTTCCAAGGCTATCCCAGATCCAGAAATTTTCAAAATTGTCAAAATCAAATGCTGTATTGTATGATCGACATTTCTCTGGATAATAATTTGTTCTACACTGAAAATTCCCTTATTTACAGAAGCTCATAGTTACAGAATTTAAAAACAGAACATTTAAAAAAGACATTCAAAAGTGTTTGAAGGATTATAGAAATACTATCAGAAATCATCGTAACACAAATATCCCTTATTGTCTTAATTAGACACAGAAGTTCTTGGCAGGAACATGTGCAAAGAATATATATCACAAGCTAACTTACAATTAATTACTGACATTTGTTTAATAGGTAGAAGACTCCATTTGGTAGTGTTGGAATTTCCAAAGGCCTAGCATACACTTAGTGGTCCCCAAAAGTTTTTAAACTTACCATATGACAACTGTACTGATGTCAGAATTAGTTTACACACAGGTGCTCTTATAAAGGAAAACAAATGTTTTTATGTCAAAATTAGATTCAAGCTGAAAAATATACTTTCAATGTATTATAAATGTCCTTGAATAATTTCAAATAAATATTTTTGGGGAAATAAGGCCAACATGAAAGCTAAGCTCCAAAGTTGGTGGGGAAAGAGTAAAGGAGTAGGGGCAAGAAAAAGAAGAACGAACGTGTCTAAATTGTTAAAGAAATAGTATTAAATATGATTCTTATATTTTAAATATATGAACCATAGTGAAAAGCCACTAATTTGAAGCAATCATTTTCTTTTAATTTAAGGTTTTTTTGACTGATAAACTGTTTCTCTGGAGCATAGATCTGGGTTGCAGTTTTTACGATAAATTTGCTATTTCTTCCTATTCCTATCCTTTACCTAAGAGAGTATGAAATAGATACTTATCAGATATGCTAGAGAAAACCTGAAATAACCAAAAATTGCCATGCTGGCACAAAAATGAAGATCACATAATTCTCTTATGCAGGCAGTTGCCTTGGTTGAAAAGAGAATCAAGAATGTCATTGTGTCCTCTGTGAGAGTGGAGGTCAACAGTGTGTTAGTTTATCTGTAAAAATAAGAAAAACAAAAAACAGAAGCCCTGTAGGCTTTTATATATATTATATACATATAATATATATTTTATATATAAGGAATAGTAGCTTAGCAGTTTCACTAGAATCACTTAAAACACATATTAATTGAATACCTTGTAGGCCAACGTGTCAATGTCTCCATCTTCAGGCTAAAGCACAGGGAAAATAATATAGTACTGTCAAAGTCTGAATACATTTCATGAATATGTGAATTGACATCCTTCATCGCCTATGAGGAATACAGTGTATTCCTCTATTCCTGTGAGGGCTTCTTCACAGTTCCTTTTTCTTCATTTCTGTGCAGTTTTTGTTTTGAGAAAGTATTACATGCCAATCCCAAATCACTTTTCAAGCCCTGAATTGCTTAGAGGCTCCTGCAATATAAAAAGAACTCAACCACAGATAGCAGAACACTCTGCTAAAAGGAAGAGAGTCTAGAGACAGTAGAACCTTGAATACTACTTTCTAATTTGGTTTTGACAGTGGTTCGGGTGGATGATTCGCAAATGTATACTTTCATTGCAGTCATGCACTCATTCAACAAATATTAATTAGGTACCTATTAAGTGCTAGGAACTGATAATATGAAATGAATTGGACTTAGTGACCCTTATGAAGGTCACTGTTTAATGGCAGAGGCAGATGGGTAAGTAAAGAATTACCTGAGAACAATGCTACCAGCAATGCTTAAAACTTGCTAGTTGTAAGTCTCTATACGACATGAAAGTAGGGGCTTCAACACTGAAACTGTGGAAGTGCTGTGGTGAGAGAAGTTATTATTCCTACAAACAACTTCAGAAATAAACCTTTCCTTTGAAGCAAAATAAACATACAGGCCATCTGGGTTGTTCTCTCCTTACGTTTAAGCTTAAAAAATATTTTTAAGTTATCATTTGTTCTTCAGGCCTTGTTCTGGTTTTTGTTATTCTTTAGTTTTACATTAGATTCCTTCTTGACTCATTACTTTCCAATATGAATTAATTATATAAAACAAT